CAGACTCTCCTTTCAAAAAAAAAAGACAGGAGTAGATTAGAATTGGAAAAATCAAAGAATGTCTCCAAGTGCAATGGAGCCCTGAAGAGACAACCTTTAATCTGTTACTAGATAGTTAAGGCTCACTTTGTTTGATTGAAAAATATCACATACATAGGTTCCAGTCATTTCAAACTAGCCTATTTTGGGGGTAAGTTATAAGGCCCTGCCATTTGTAAAATTTTAACTTGCAACAAGACATCTCTGCTAGTCTACAGCGTAGAACATTATGTAGATTTGTAGATTATGGTAGAGTTTGTGCATGTAATTTACTGCTCATAATTTAACAAAACTCATGCTGTTAAAATGCTGAAGGACTATCGATGCAAATGTGCTCGTCTTTGGATAATAAAAAATTTAAATCCTAATTTTACTTTAGGTACTTAGCTGATTCCTTTTTTGTTTGACACCTTAGACCCTTATAATTTATGCAAAGACCTCTCTAAATTTGGATCAAAAACAGTTCAGCTAACTCTATATTTGCTATGATATTCTCAAACAGCACATTTGATCTATTTCTCACAATCACATTTTTCCCCTGAGAGCCAGACTTCTTCAGTAGATGCTGCAGAATAAGAGCATTGTAGAAAGAACACAGGATTTTGAGTGTTAGGACATGAGTTCAAGTCTGGTTTACTTACTAACTAGGTCAAGCTATTTAACTTTTCTGGGTTTCATTTTACTTACTTGGAAAATGGAGAAGATAATTGTATTAGTCAGGACTTTTTTTGTTTGTAATTCAATTTCATTTGTTTGCAAATTCAATTCAAGATAGCCCAAAGAACAAATTTAGCAACTTCACATTGCTAGAAGTTCAGTGATCAACACAGTTAGACCCAGAGTAGCAGGTCTCTTCCCTCATCCCTCTTCTCTTTCTCCAAATACTCACATAGTTATTTAAAAAAAAAAAAAAAAAAAAAAACTCTCACTAATTGGTAGGAAAAACACTATCAACTGACCCAGAGTCAAATTGTTCCAGTTCAGCATGTTCAGGAGAAAAAAAAAAAGAAAAAAAGGATAATGTTCTCATCTGATCGATCATTTCTCAGGGCGTATGCTCACTCCTAAACCAATTTCTGCTCTGGGAATGACAGGTTGTCACAACTGGTCTGCCCGGGATCACATGCTCCATGCTCACCCCTGAGAACAAAGGAACAGACATACTAATTGACAGACTCAGCAGGACCACTTGTTTTGGACAAGAGAGATCCCTGCAGCATTAAAGGAGTGGTATATAGACAAAAATATCAACTTTCCACTACAATAGTAATTCCTCTAGCTAGGATGTTATGATGACTGAAAATTTGGGAGAGTACTTCGCATATTGTAAAAGACACTAAATATTTGGTTAAAGTGGTTTTCTTAACAAAAAATTAATGTGAAGAGATTGGAAGAGAAGGACATAAGATCATATTAGAATGAGGCATCTGTTCAAAACAAGTTATTTCTATGTAAAATTGGGTAAATTGCTATATATTCTTTACAAAGCAAATTATCTACAAAATGAAACAAATAAATATTAGTTTTATGTTTAATATAGATATTTTTTTGAGAAATGAAAGTCATAATAAAATCTCCAGTGACTTTAAGTGCCCACAATAAGCTAAATGTCTCATTTTCTATCAAGAACTAAATGTGCTCAGGGGTGTGAACATGTCATGATTGCTTAGCTTAATGGGTGTGAAGTAAATGCACTCTTTTCTAGAGGGAATTTTTTCTAAAGATCACTGCAACATTTACAGAACTCGGCACATTTTTATAAAATTGAATGGTTAGAAGTGACCTGCAAAGTTCATCAAATATTTGCCATGGCTTTAGAATGACAATGAAAACACTCCAAGGAAATAACTACTTTGAAATAGATTTTTAAAATGTCTTCCAGGGAGAGCCTCTCTGGGAAATCTATGTTTTGTACAATAAATCAACATCCATCTTCACCTCTTCCCTTCAGGCTGCCAGAAAATAATTGGATTACACTACAGCCCCCACAGCAGTTGTTCCTAAACCTGATTATTCATCAGAACCACTTGAGAGACTTTGTAAAATACAGATTTCTAGTCCCTCTCTAGTTGTACTGAATGAAGGTCCAGAAATCAGTATTTTTTTTTTTTTTTTTTTTTAAAGCCTCTCTCAAGTATCTGTTTCTAGCTACTTTGATCCATCTATTGGCTTTCGGGAGTCGCAGAGTTCAGGACTAAGGAGATACTTAATCATGACTGTAAGATATCATTGCCAAGAGAAATGTGACTATTACCATATTCAGCCACTGGGAGAGAAACAAGCAAGGTGTTTTAACTTTTGAAGCTCTAACTATATGAAGGAAGTTTGTGACTCTCTACAGTTTCTAATTTTACTTTTATAATATCGATGTTAATATTCTGAATATTGACTATTATAATATTGATATTAGTGTCCCATGCTAAAAGCTCTGCAGGCAATAGGTTCCCTGTTACATGGTCTGGATGTTTGAAAGTGCTAGAAAAACAGGTAAGATGATGATGAAAAAGAGAAAGAATAAGTAGACAAGCTTCCCTCATTTCATATTAGAGAGAATTTTCTCAATTTATTAAGAGCAGCTCCATTCTTTCTGAAAAGACTATCAGTTCACACCCAAATGAATAATTATTGTAAGTCATAAAATGCATGATTGTGAAGAATTTTAAAGAGGTCAGGCTATGTCAAAGGTTTTACCTCCTACTTTTTTTCTGTTAGTATTACATCATAAACACTTTTCATTGCAGTTGTGATTCTTCATATATATGTTGGCATGTGCATAGTATATATGCATATATATAATCTGTAAATAAATGCATCAAAACATTAGCATATTAGCAATAGTGCGATTATTGATGATTTTAACTTTATTCATTTTTGTGTTTTTCAACTTTTCTACAAAAAATACTCGTAAAATATTGGGGGATTAGAAGCAGCCTGTGCACCCAGAACTCCCAAGGAAAGCAAAGTAGACAGGAAGCAGGTGCCTGCCCTACAGACAGCTATTCTCGGAAGGAACATTGTGAAACCACAGAGAAGCAGTGTGGGACTCTCAGTGTGAGGGGGAAAAAGGTGACGGGACATTTGATAATATCAAAGCACACGTGGGGAAGATTAGCAGGATAGAGGGCACTGCGATCGCCCTGCAGGTGCTGTGGCCAAGTTGTGAGAGGGCACTCTCTGTCCCCATAGATGGGAAACTTGCCTGGAGTCTGTGCACAGTAATTGCACCAGACAACAGACGCCATTTTTTCCCCTCCTGTGGTCTCCTTCTGATGGTGACTTCAGGATAAATTCTTCCAGTGGCAGAGGACCCTGCGCCTACTCCTGCCGGTGGCCACAGGGGAAGCTCCCCTGGCAGAGAGGCATGCCTGCAACTTGCTTGGCACCAGCTTCATCCCCTACAGTGGCGGAGTGTCTGGGAACGGGCAGGGGCTGGGGCCAGGGCTTGCGTGCAGGCAGCTCCACTGTGGATGGCTGGGAGCTGTGTGTCCCACAGCCTGGAGCCTCCGAGACTCTGGAAGCAGCCTTTCTGCTGGGACCTAAGCCTCTGGGGGGTGGATTTCCAGTGAGCTCTTTTTCCTTCTTGTACCGCTCTGCAGCTTCTTCCCTTGGAATCCCTGGTAGATTCTAGCACTTTCTCTCAGAGTTACACCTAAGCTATGTTTTTTTGTTTGTTTGTCCCTCCCCCCACCCCAACTAAAAGATTTTCTTCTAAGATGATTTGGTTACCAATGACTCTTACCAGCCATCTTGTCTCCTCCTCTTTGTCTTTTGATTGAAGAGTTTAGTCAATTCCCATTCAATGTTATTATTGGTAGGTAAGACTTACTACTGCCATGTTACCTCCTGTTACCAGTGAAATGTATACATTCAGATGATATCTTATTGTTCATGTATGTCCTTTTTTTCACATTGAAGAACTCCTTTTAGCATTTCTTGTAGGACAAGTCTGGTGGTGATGAAATCCCTGAGCTTTTGTCTAGGAAAGTCTTTATTTCTCCTTCGTGTTTGAAGTATATTTTTGTAGGATATGATATTCTAGGGTAAAGATTTTTGTCCTTCAGGACTTTGAATATGTCATGCCACTCTCTCCTGGCCTATAAGGTTCCACTGAGAAGTCTGCTGCCAGACGTATTGGAGCTCCTTTATATGTTAGGGTGTTGTGTTTTTTTTCTTGCTTCCTTTAGGACTTGTTCTTTATCCATGACCTTTGGAAGCTTGATTGTTCAATAATTTGAGGTAGCCTTGTTTGGGTTAAATCTACTTGATGTCCTATGACCTTCATGTACCTGAATATTGATATCTTTCTCTAGGTTTGGAAAGTTCTCTGGTTTTATTTCCTTGACTAAACTTTCCATCTCAGTATCTCTCTCTCTACCTCCTCTTTAAAGCCAATAACTCTTAGATTTGCCCTTTTGAGGCTGTGTTCTAGTCTTGTAGGTTTGTTTTTCTTTTTTTATTCTTTTTTATTTTTCCACTTTTGACTGTATATTTTCAGATAGCTTGACTTTAAGCCTATTAATGCTTTCTTCTGCTTGGTCCATTCTGATGTTGAGAGACTGATGCATTTTGCAGTTTGTCAATTAAACTTTTCAGCTCCAGAATTTCTGCTTGATTTTTTAAATGATTTCAATCTCTTTGTTAAATATCTCTGATAGTCTTCTGAATTGCTTCTCTGTGTTGTCTTGAAGTTCATAGAGCTTTTTCAGGACAACCATTTTGAATTCTATCTCTGAAAGGTCACATATCTCTATCGTTCCAGGATTAGTCACTGGTAACTCATTTCTTTTGGTGAGGTCATGTTTTCCTGGATGTTCTTGATGCTTGTGGATGTTCATTGATGACTGAGCATTGAAGAGTTATTTATTTTAATCTTCAGTCTACACTTGTCCCACCCTGTCCTTCTTGAGAAGGCTTTCCAGATATTCAAAGAGAATTGAGTGTTGTAATCCAAGTCTTTGGTCAGTGCAGCCATATCAGCACTCGGGGCACCCAAAGCCCAGAAATTCTGTTACTCTTGCAGACTCCTGGTGGTACTGCCTTGATGGACTTGGGTAAGATGTGGGAGAATTCCCTGGATTACTAGGCAAAGTCACTCACTGTCTTGGGGGAGGAGTGATATGGGCACCCCCTTGTGGGCTCCACAGCTGGGACTGCACCAAGTCATACCTGAAGCCAGCCCAAAGCCCATGGTGACTGTCGCCTGGCTACCTCTAATGTTTATTTAAAGCTCCAGGGCTCTTTAGTCAGCAGATGGTGAATGCTGCCAGGACTTGGTCCTTCCTTCCCTTCAGGGAAGTATGTTTCCTTCTGGCCCAGAATAGATCTAGAAATGCTGTCTGGGAACTAAGGCCTAGAGTCAGATGTGTCAGGAGTCTGCTTGGTACTTTATTTTACTGTGGCTGAGCTGATACCCAAGCTGCAAAACAGAGTCCTCTGAACTCTTTTCTTTCCTTTTCCCAAGCAGAAGATGATTTTCCCTTAGTCATGCTGCCTGGATTTAGGGGAGGGGTGATATAGTCACTGGCTTGGCCACTGCTGCTTGTATCTCACTAGGTCACAGGCATCCCAAGACCACTGTCTCTGAGCCAGCACAGCTATAGGAATTCCCCAAGGACTGCAGCCTCTGTGGCCTGACTGCCTTACAAATTTAGTCTAGACCTCAGGCCCTTTTTTGTCATTCTCTGGCAGGGCTAGCAAGAACTTGAGTTTCAGGGTGGAGGATGTCCCTCTAGCCAGAGTGGTTTAAATCCTCCCTTTGTGGGCACCAGCAGAATGTCACAGGTGCTGTCTTGTGACAAGGTGGGCCTAAGTTCCAATGCAAAGTCCTACAGTCACTTCACTGTCCCTCCCCCAGGCACACAGATTCTCTCTCCACTGGGTGAGCTGGTGAGGCACTGTCAGGGGATGGGAGAAGGTGGCATAGGTAATACAAGGCTGTCTTTTCTGCCCTCTTCCATGCCTCTTTCTTTGATATAATGTTAAAACAAGATACTGTGATCACTCACCTGCTTTTTGGTTCTTCTGAAGGTGCTTCCTTGCATGGATAGTTGTTGAATTTGTTATTCATGCAGAGGGATGATTGCTGGAGGTTTCTATTTGGCTATCTTGCTCCACCCCCAGTTCCTTTATTTATTTCTTCTAATACTTTTTAAGTGCCTACTCTGGCATTTAACCCGATAAATGGAAAGAAAAGGGGACATCTGGAAAAGGACAACCACAATAGACAGATTGGAATGCAAGAATAAGTCAAGTAGTAGATATTTCAGCTGTTTAGAAGAGGAGATGATTGGCCCAATTCAGGCCTGCCACTATTGCCTTCTTGAGAAGCCAGGCACATCCATTGCCCCTCACTTCAGCCCAGGCTCCCACACTATGCCATGGGACAAGATCTTCAAGAAATTCCACACCTTGGAACAATGAATAGGTGTCTGACTTATCCGAGAGAGGCATCCTACTAAAATTCTAGTAATAATAGAACAATACAAGAGTGAGAAGCAGCTTCTTGTGCTGAATAAAATGAAGTTTCTTAGTCATGATCACATCAACAAGAGTGAACTAACAAAGATTCTTTGCTTGGCCAATTTTTAATTTTTTTTTATTTTTATAGTTTTAGGGGGTTCAAGTGAGAGCAGTTTTGTTACATGGGTTTATTGCATAGTGATGAAATCTGGGCTTTTATAATAGTGTAGCCATCACCTGAATAGTGTACATTGTAGCCATTAAGTACTTTCTCATTCCTCACTCCCCCACCTTCCTATATTTACAAGTCTCCAATGTCTATTATTCCATTCTCTATGTCCATATGGCATATTATTTAGCTCCTACGTCTAAGTGAGAATATGTAGCCCTTGACTTTCTGTTTCTGAGTTATTTCACTTAAGATAATGGCCTCCAATTCCATCCACATTTCTATAAAATACATGATTTCATTCTTTTTTATGGATGAGTAGTATTCCATGGTGTGTGTGTGTGTGTGTGTGTGTGTGTGTGTTACATTTTCTTTAACTAGTCATCTGTTTATGGACATTTAGGTTATTTCCATTTTATGCTATTGTGACTAATACCACAATGTACATATGAGTGCAGGTATCTTTTTGATATAAAGATTTCTTTTCCTTTGTGTAGATCCCCAGTAGCAAGATTGCTGAGTCAAATGGTAGTTCTATTTTTAGGTCTTTGTGAAATCTCCATAGGGTTGTACTAATTTACATTCTGGCCAACAGTGTATAAGTATTCCCTTTTCTCTGAATCCTTGCCACAACATCTGTTATTTTTGACTTTTTAATAATAGACACTGTGACTCATGTAAGATGGTATATCTCATGGTTTTAATTTACATTTCTCTGAGGATTAGTGATGTTTAGCATTTTTTCATATGCTTTTTGGCCATTTGTATGTTTTATTTTGAAAAATGTCTATACATGTCCTTTGCCCACTTTTTAATGTGGTTATTTTGGGGGGTTTTGTTGAGTTGTTTGAGTTCCCTGTAGAATCTGAATATTAGTCCTTTGTCACATGCATACTTTGCAAATATTTTCTTCCATTCTGTAGGTTGGCTGTTTACTTTGTTGATTATTTATTTTGCTGTGCATAAGTTCTTTGGTCTAATTAAGTCCCATTTGTCTATTTTTGTTGCATTTGGTTTTGAGGTCTTAATCATGAATTTTTTACTTAGGCTAAGGTCCCAAAGAGTTTTCCCTAGGTGTTCTTCTAGAATTTTTATAGTTTAAAGTCTTACATTTAAGTCTTTAATCTATCTTGAGTTGATTTTTGTATATAATGAGAGACAGGGTTAAGTTTCACTCTTCTGAATATGGCTATCCAATTTTCCCAGCACCATTTATTGAATAGTGTGTCCTTTCCCTAGTATATGTTTTTATCAATTTTGTCAAAGAGCAGTTGGCAGTAGGTATGTGGCTTTAGTTCTGGGTCTCTGTTCTGTTTGTTCCATTGAACTATATGTCTATTTTTATACCATCACCATGCTGTTTTGGTTACTATAGCCTTTAGTATAATTTGAAGGTAAGGTGATACCTCCAGCTTTGTTTTTGTTTTTTGTTTTGTTTTTGCTTAGGACTGCTTTGGCTATTCAAGCTCTTTTCTAGTTTCATATGAATTTTAAGATTTCTTTTTCTAATTCTGTAAAAAATGACATTGCTATTTTGATAGGAATTACATTGAATGTGTACATTACTTTGGGTGTTATGGTCATTTTAATAATGCTAATTCTTGTGATACATGAGCATGGGATGTTTTTCCTTTTATTTGTGTCATCTACAATTTCTTTCATCAGGTTTCCTTGCAGAGATCTTTTACTCTCTGTATTTAACCATATTTCTAAGTATTTTTTGTAGCTATTATAAATAGGATTGACTTCTTGATTTGGTTCTTAGCTTGATAGTTATTGGTATATAAACATGCTCTTCATTTTTATACATTGATTTTTGTATCCTGAAACTTTATTGAATTCATTTATCAAATGTAGGAGGCTTTTTGCTTAGCCAAACTTTAATCAGGCTTTTGAACCTTCTCTTAGGCCTATCTGTGTACTTCGTTATAAAATCTAGTCTTAGCAAAGAACCCTACTAAATCAGTTTAGCAAGAAACTACTCCCCTCAAATACCTAATAACACTTCATTTCTGATCACTCTTGATAACTGATCATCTTCCTCATCCTCCACCATTCCCCAGTGATGTCCAATTACCCTGGCCTGTCTTCAGCAAAAATCCTATTAGGTCAGTTTAGCCAGAATACTCCTATCAGAGGAAACCCCTGAGGTTTCCTCTAATAATTTTCCTCTAGTAATTTTCCATCCACTAATGCCCTCCCCTCTCCTCCCCTTGGCTATAAATCCCCACGTGCTCATGCTATATTTGGAATTGAGCCAAATCTTTCTTCCCCAATGTAATACCCTATTTCAGTGGTCCCTGGACCTATCTCAATGGTCCTAAATATAGTGTTTTTTATATTGCTTTCACAAGTATCATTGAATAATTTTTTTTCTTTAACAGAACTCATCAAAATAATTAGAAGACATTTACAACTCAGTGCTAATCCAGCCTTCTTTCCGTTGGTGACTAGACAAAGCACGGTGAGCATTTCCACACTGATTTCTGAAGTATATAAAAGTAAGAAGGATGAAAATGGGTTCCTGTATGTGGTGTATGCCTGTCAGAAGACATTTGGAATGAAATGGTATAAGACTAGAAAAATGCATTTATTCTAGAATTTTTGAATTAATAAGAAAAAAATAAACGATGTTACAAACAGTTCATCTAAGCATAGATCAAAATAGTAGTGTTCCCACCTAGAAGTTTTAGGAAGTTGTTTGTATATTTCAAGCAGAGAGAAACCTCCAAATGAGCACATTCAGCTTTGGAAAACTATGTTATTTAACCTAGGCTGTCTTATTTAAAAATTTTAGAAGTATAAAAATAAAATACTTTGCATTCTAACTTGCCAAAAAAAAAAAAAAAAAGAGGAAGTGATTAATGAGGAATAAAGACATCTGGCATGGTGTTCTGTCAGAGATGAAATTTAGATTAAGTCTCACACAAAGGGTGGGACTCCCACAAGCAGAAAAGAGAAAGATGAAATTCCATGCGAGAAAATGGAATAAGTAAAGATTTGAAATCAGAAATTTATACATTCCATTCAGGAAACTATAAGATAAGTATAAAGAGGTAAGTTTAGATTCATAAACATCTATGTGTCCACCATAAACTTTAAGTAGATGTTAAAATTGACTCTTGTCAATTTTACCTTGTCAACTGACCCTTGTCAATTTTAATTGACTCTTGTCAATTAGTGCTAGATTGTTGGGCATTCTTTAATGGCATTATTTGAATTTGGATTCTATAGGCCTGGCCTGGGCATTTTAAGCTGGAAGTAGGGAGCAAGCTGAAGGGATAATGCAACACCATGAAACCAGCATGAAGAGTTTTCTTGTACTCTGAACTATATACTCAGATCAGGGAGGTACAGAAAAGAGGAGTATAAAAATTTTCCCAGGCAATAATTTTAAACATTTTTAACATTTTTAAATACTGACACATTATGGAGGTTAAAGACTGATGTAAAGTTTTAAGTTAAAATACAAAATATCAAAGAATAATTTTACCTGCTGCATCTATTCAAGGGTATATTACCAGAACCCACACCAAATATTAGCTCCTCCCTCTTCATGGGAATACACATATTTCTCTCTTTTTCTGTTAGGAAGGCTCCTATGAAGAAAATATAAGGTGTTCTCTTCCAGTCCATAAGTATGCACTAAAGTTTTACCTATTATATAGAACTTGATATTTTACATGCTAAAATTATACTGTTCCCAACTTAAATTGACTCATCAATTAATCCATTAAGTAAGAATAAGCAGACACTGTGGGACCTTATGGAGTCTTCCTTTGAAGGCAAGGGAAAATTACTCCCACTGAATAAAATTAAAGCATGGCAGAAGATAAAAGGAATGTTGTAGGTGGGCATAGTGACTCACGCCTGTAATCCTAGCACTCTGTGAGGCTAAGGCAGGAGGATCACTTGAGCTCAGGAGTTCCAGACCAGCCTGAGCAAGAGCGAGACTCCATCTCTACCAAAAATAGAAAAAACTGGTTGGTGGCAGGCACCTATAGTCTCAGCTACTTGGGAGGCTGGCTGCAGTAGTAGGATCACTTGAACCTGGGAGTTTAAGGTTGCAGTGAGCTATGATGTCACCACTGCACTCTACCTGGGGTGTTAGAGTGATACTCCTTAAAAAAAAAAAAAAAAAAAAAGAAGCAATGTTACATTTTGATTTTGTCATGAGCCATATGTGTTCAGTTTACCAGTTACATAAATGAAATTTCAAGTAAGCAATCCTAATCCCTGGTCTTCACCCTCCTACAGTGGGCTCCAATTCTCTAGGCAAGGAAGGTAATCCAGGTAATTAGCTGCTCAAATTGCTCCCATCCTGGGCCAGCTTGCACATGGCATCAGGCAGAAGAGCCCGAATCTCTGGCTGCTCCCTGTCTGCAGTATCCTCCAGGCTCCGACGTCAACCAGGCTAAACAGATTATACAGTGAGAAAATGCAAGCACTCTCATGGACTGCATGTCTGTGTCTCCACCTTTCCTCCTCGGTTCACATGTTGAAGCCCTCACCTCCAGGGTGATGGTAGTAGGATGGGGCCTTTGGGAGGTATTTAGGTCTAGATGAGTTCATGAAAGTCCTCATGAAGGGATTAACACCCTTATAAGCAGAGGAAGAGACACCAGAGCTGCTTCTCTTACCAGTGAGGACACAGCAAAGGATGGCTGTCTGAAAGCGAGATAGAGAACCCTCACCAGGAACCGAATCAGCTGGGACCTTGATTTGGAACTTCTATGTCTAGGCTGTGAGAAATTAATGTCTGCAGTTTAAGCCATCAATATAATGATAGTATATTGTTATAGCAGCCCAAGCTAAGACTATGACACAGTTTATTAACAATAGTGCCCTCACCAGAATCAGGAGAAGAAAAAAAAAAACCTAGAAGTTATCCAACTCTCATTCTTTGATTTACAGGGATCATGGTGTAATGATTAAGATTATGAGATCTAGAGCCTGAGTTCAAAGACCCAGCTCTGCTACTTATTCTGCACCTCAATCTCTCGTTTGTAAAACAGATATACGTTATCCCTTGGAGGACAGCTGGGATAATTAGATAACTTGATATTAATACATAGAGTATATTCAGAACAGTGCTTGACATTATGTGCTCAGTTAATGCTAGTTTTATTATATATTTATATAAAAAAACAAAAATGCTTCCAGTCTGTATTTCTTGTTTTGTGTGTTCTCAAATTCCTACCCAGTCCCCATTCCCTTGGCAGTCTCACCACATTGCCCACATCCCTGTTCAAACTAGGTCTATACCTCTACCTTACCTCTACCTCCCCATATTTACAAGAGCTTGTAACTTACAACTGACTGTACTGGTCTGATAGTCTAAACTACCTTATTTGGTTCCTTTGCTGTCCTTCCCTGGTGATAACTCTAGCAGTAAGTGATTTTCTCCCAAGTACGTGTAAAACATATCTGAAAGGTTTACAGTTTAAAATATGAACCTTGTTCTTCTGTGTATTTTCTCTTGTACTGAAACCCCCTAGTTAACACTGAAACAGAAATAAGCATTAAAGTAAACTGCCAACCTCAGTGCCAGAAGTAGTTTCCTATCTAAGAGGCATTCTTTCAGGGCTGGATTTTTACCCCAGGGTTGATCGAGTGCAGAGAAGAGAGAGAAAGTGGAGGAACAATTTTAAAAGAGCTGAAGAGGGAGGATGGTTTAGATGGGTGAAAAACAAGAACCTGCTGCTGCATCACATAAAGAACGCAGAGGATGAGCAGGGCTCACACTCTTTTCTTGCAGACCTCCTGCCATGTAACAACCCTGGGTATTTAGAAGGGCCCCTTGACCCCTAGTAGAGGAGACCAAATATGGGAGGTGGAGGCTAACAGGAAAGTCTTGCATCCTGCCTGATAAAGGTGAAATTAAACTGAATTAGTGAGGAACTTCCTTGTGAGTAGGACATACATATTAAGCTTCTGTGATGAAATTTATAAAAAAATTGGAAAAGACAAAAAGTTTGTCAGCTACTAATATATCTTAAGGAAATCAGTTTGTGTTAAACTGATCTCTTTGTAAATTTCATTGCTGTGTCTATTTGGGGATATGGCACAGTTTTTCCCAGAGGTTGGATCTTCTAAATTTCAACATACCCAGTTTTATTATGTTTTATACATCATTGTTTTGTTCTCAAACAGGAAGTTTCTACATGGGGCTGAAAGGAATAGAAAAAAGTCAGGCCTGATAATATAGGCTTTGAATCACCCACGCAGAACAAATACTTGAAGCCATGAGAATAACTGAAATCTCAGAGGAAAGAGTAAAAGGGGAAAAGGGCAGACCATCAAAGTTAGGAACCCCAAAATTACTTGCATGAGAATGAGAAAGAGGCCCCTCCTAGGAGAGAGAGTAATTAACCAAAGATGTAGAGAACAAGGAAGAACTGGAAGGAGGAAATCAAGTAAGGAGGGCTTGTCCAATCAACTGATTGGAACAAAAAGAAAAAATGAGGATTGAAAAGAAAACTTCTGAATTTACCTATTAGGAAGCTACTACTTTCTTCAAATAAACAGTTTCAGTGAATCGCTGGACCCAATTACAAGAAGTTATGGAGGGTGAGACTATTCTGGCTCTAGAGAGTAAAAGAGACAGCTCTGGACATAGATCTATGGATTCTGCTCATAGATCCTGCCTTCCTGATCCAATGAGCTGCAAGTACTAAAGTCCTTCACCCAGACTCACTCAGTCCAGCTTCTCTGCTGAGCCACCCCTCACCTGGGAAATAAATACATTAGGATTTTTTGGAAAAGGTTTTGGTATTAGCTGTGGGGCCATACAGCCAGGTATCCGGAGCCCCAGCAGCATGTTTGCATAGAGCTGTGGCCTCCCTCGATCCCACCTCCCATGCTTTTGGCTCCCACACAATTACTAGGCTTCATCTTTGACTTATGGATGGGCATTCTTGTTTCCCCACTGCATTGAGAACGTGCTTGGAATGCTATCACCTCCTGTTTGGGGAACAGGTACTCCAACTAGCCTTTGCAACACCTTTCTCAAAGGTCTGTATTTCATTTCCAAGCCTTGGTGGGGGTCATGGTCCTAAAAGCCTCACAGCATAGAAGGAAAATACTGTCACCCACCTGACTTCCATTTTTAATCACAATTTCCTAGAATTTCCTGCTGTCTGCCTAAACCACAGGATTGGTCTTGCTTGAGGATTAGTCATTATTTCTGTTGCATACAACATATCAGTGTAAAAAAAAAATCCTCCTTACCCCCTTCTGACTAGCATGATCTGTCACCTGTAGCTATACAACTCTAGATGCTGTTCAGGTCCTTGGTTTGTGTTCTAGATCGTGATATGTACTTCCCAAGTTTTTCATTTTGAGGGGAGATTGAACATTCTTCTCTGGTCTACAAACTCAACCCTATTTCCAAGGCATGTAAAAACACAGATACACACATGTACATTCACAGAGACACAAAAACTTTGATTTTAGATGATTCTT